GAAAATGTTCTGTCGCACAAACTCATAACCTCAGGACTCAGAAAAACGATTTCTATAATAAATAACAACAATAAATTATACAGTTTTATTTGATGCACTTTCAATGCAAAGTAAATAAATGCTGCAGGGTGCAAACATAATGAATCCAAACAAATGGAAATAGGCAGACCTTATGGTGTGTGTGTGTGTGTGTGTGTGTGTGTGTGTGTGTGTGTGTGTGTGTGTGTGTGTGTGTGTGTGTGTGTGTGTGTGTGAGAGTGAATGAGCGAGTGTGTGCTTGTGGGTTAAATCAATGTGAGCTGATTTTCTGTGCATGTGCAAAAAATCTATGTTTGAGTACAGGTTAATGGGTCCCTAGTGTGTGTGTGTGTGTGTGTGTGTGTGTGTGTGTGTGTGTGTGTGTGTGTGTGTGTGTGTGTGTCTGCAGTGCCATGCTGGGGTCTGCCTATTTACAAAACCCACTTTATGTGCAGATTTATAGGAGCCCATGATTTTCTTATTTATGAGGAGCATCATTTCCTTGAGTGTGTGTGTGTGTGTGTGTGTGTGTGTGTGTGTGTGTGTGTTGCACTACATGTATATAGAATTCATCTTTTACATTTCAGCAGTCCTCCCTGTATTTAATGCTGGTCTGTACAGTCATTTGGCTTTTGTTTTCAGCACAAGGTTTTTCAACCTGGGTTTCTTTTTGAGAGAAGCAGGGACTACTCTTGACCCTCTTGGGGCCCCTGGGCCAAAATTCTCAGGGGTCCCCTCCAAGGGGCGACTCTGACTCCGGGCGGCATAAACTCCACTCAGTCATGGCTTGCAGAGCTGGACACACTGGGCTTCATGTCTAGCATCATTCAGTCATTCATTATCATATTTAATGCTCATTATCTGCTTCACCTACCAATGAGGGTGAGGTCTGTCATATGGGGCCCCCTTTGGGAGGTTTCCTACTGTCAAACTTTGCACATTTTCAGCCACTGCTGTTCTTCAAGTTTGCCATCTCTAATGCAGAAAAACATCTCACTCTCTAATAGTCTGCTTTTTGTCACTTCATAAGTTTTTGATGTGTGAAATCTCCATTGAGCCCTCTAGAGGTGAGCCACCTACCGATCAGAAATCAGAAAGATCAGAAATCTTAGATACTGTTTGTTTTATTTTCAGCCTCTAGAGTTTTGACACTAAAGCACAGACAAAGATTTTGACTTTTTTATCACCTGCAGTTGGAGTCGACAGTCACACCTTTCAAGAAACAATTGGCGCGTTGCCAAATGTGTGAAAGTCTGCAGGATTTCAGGATCTTTTTTTAGTCTTCAGATAACTGCTTTGTCACTTTTGATTGAGTTACCTCCGAATGTTTCACAGTGAGTCATGAGCTCCCAACAGACCGGACTGCCTCCAAGAGCTTTCCATACAAGCTCCTGTAAACCAACACTCAAGCTTTCCCTCTGATGAAAATTAACATTTTACCACGGTTGCTGTTTTTCCAAATGTCAGCAGCACAGCAGATAACACATCAAAGGTTTCCTCCCACAAATCCATTTCCATTTGTTCAGCCTAAAACACGACTGCTCCGTCAATGTTCCAGTCACCCTGGATGCCAAATGCCACTTGTTAAACAATGCACCCACCGGCCATGCAACCCACAAATCATTATTACAAATAGCCTGGATCAAAGGGTGCTGCGGTAACGCCATGGTAAATGATCCCCGATAAAAGTCCTAATTAATTCTAGACCTGATAAATAGCCAACACTTATTTTTCCTGGTCAATATGTGTCATGGAGGCCCGGGAGAACACTTGTGTTACAACTTATTATTGCAGAAATGACTCCACTAAGTTGATCCAAAATGGCGAAAACTGCAGTGGTTACCGAGTATATTTGGCTTCTTTGAAGGTTGATCGGTTTGAAGTTTTAAGGTCTCCCTTTGTGCAGTACTCACATGCTGGGTTTTAAGTGGTTATCTATGGCAGGGGTTCTCAAACCTTTTCAGACCATGGACCCCTTTCAGTTGAGAATTTTTTCCAAGGACCGCCTTATTATTGTGTCGTTGATAAGCTGTTAATACTATGTAATAATGTACTATATAGTACTTTTCAACGATAGAATTAGGCTACATTTATACTTTAAAAGTAATTCATTTGATAAACTCTGAGAAAATGTTGGCTCCGAGGTGTTTTTTGTTGTCGTTGTGGTCATGAAGTGACTGACATGTCACGATTATATCAGAATTGATTTAATGGCACAAAACTAAAGTGGGCGGGAGTATTGGACAAAATAGTGGATTATATTGGTGCAAGAGGTCTGAGTTTGTAGATATGCTTTTTCAATGATATAGCACACTTTTACAATAGTACTGTTTGTAAATTACTCCACGGACCCCCAAGCTATGGTTCGCGGACCCCACTTTGAGAATCACTGATCTATGGTACGGATTTACATCTGACTTTCCTTTCATGGCAGAGTGATATGATTACCAGCAGCTGGTTGAGCGGCTGGACATTTTATGCAAAACCAGGACGAAGGCACCTGAGACTTCAACTGATTAAATGAAGCTGCTAAGCTTGTTCTTAAGTAGGACATAATCTTTCCTACATCCACACTAAAATGGTGTTTCTAAAGGAAAATTATGCACTGAACATGCATGTGCTGGTGTTATCAGACACACACAAACCATGGACTGGTTCTCTAACAAAGACAAGGCAATCAATAAATCAATCCGTATTTGTACAGCGCCAAGACGCTATTCTTCACATTCCTGTTGTCCACACTTCCTTGACGCTGAGGTGGAGGTCGGAGCAGGCCGCGCATGAATGAGTGTGGTGGAATTTCTCTAGATATTTAGATTATAATGTACAGACATCATTAGGTTTATTCACTGTTCTCTCATGTCAGTCAGACCTGACAGAGTTCAGCTGTTACTAGAACACCAAGTACAGCTTAGAGAGTGTTCTTCCTGATATCTGCAAGGATGTTTGGTAGACTTATTGTCTGCTCCAGTGTAATTGATGTCACAGATTAGTCTAGGTGGGTAAATGTGACATGAGCCTGATAATGATAATGTCTTTTAGGATATTGGCGATGCCTTTCGAAGAGTTCTGCAGATGTGGTTGAGCAAGACACGAGCACAGAAGTGTGATGTTGATCCTCCTCGAGTATTCATCTGATGTATAAACTTTCATCAACGTAAGCCATCTGAGTCTTATTGTGTGAAGTCAAGTCTTAGTCATTTCTTTAACAATGAGGACGGCGGTAGTTGTGGGGACGACACAGTCCGATGGTGGTTGCTGTGCGTCAGGGACGTCGGGGTGGTCGACCTTGTTTTAAGGCTCATAACACCGCAGGACATAGCAGTTGTTTTGAAATAGCATGCCACCTGCCCAGGACGGCAGTAACAGTAAAAGTGTGGATGAAACCTAAACTGTGTTGCTCTTCTTCAAAACTAAACAGTTTACTTTGTATAATTTTTCCCCCTCAGGAATCCTCACGAGTACATCTCCCCATGAGGTCTAATTCTATTTCAAGAGGGTCCTGAATACAGGTTCAAGGGTACAGCTGAGACTGGAGAGTCTGATTAGTCCAACAGGACGATCGAAACCATTCAGCTCCAGCCCGTGGTTATACTTAATGAAGTGAGCAGTCTGGAACAGACCAGAGCTTTGCGACTTTATTAGTGCGGTGACAACTCACCTACGCATGACGTGCACATGTATCTTTATTTCACTCCTGCACATTCAAAGAATAAATTAAAGCTCTAATGGGAAGAGGCGTTCCCTGACCTTCCTCTGCAGGCTGATTTGTCTTTGACGGCGTCCTTCAGGAAAAGTTTCTGGATTGTTTTGATTCAAGCTTTTCTTAAAGCTCTGCATTGCATCTGCTCTACGTCTCGTTCTCTGCTTTCCAACAGCAGAGAGAAACCAGGGCAGCGTTGCATATTAAGTAGTATGGGACTGCTGTCCTGGTTTCGTTATATTGCGGGAATGTTTATTTTGGCGGAATCAGCACCCAGGTGGAATTTCTAATGGGGAAGCTGAGCTCAGTGTTTCCCAAATTATCAACCCTAGTGGTTCCCAAAATACAGCTCTGTGGCCCCTCCTGGGACCTGCAGAGTCCATGGGAGTTCCCAAACAATGGAAATGTTCACATCTTCATAGCTAGTAAATGCATCAAGTCAGCACAATTCTTTTTGCATTTCTAGGTTGTCCTCATGTGTCCCGAGCTCTTCCTTCCATGTGGGGAGGAGGATATTATACTGCCCTGATTTTAATCTCCTCAAATACAAACATTGGAGAGATCTTTGTGTGTCTCCTGAGATATTTCAAAAGAGGGGGACATGATGCACATTAATGCTTCTCCTTTGCACAGTGACCAAAGATTGTCTCTTGATTGGTTTTAAAGCTCCAATAAATACTGAAAACTCTGGCAAAAAAAAAGTTTTTTCGGCCAGCGTGTTAATGAGTTTCTGGCCATTTTGTGCCATGGGGTGTTACTTTGGAACAAAGACTCTTTACACTGGTTTATCAACTCTACTCTGACTCTTCTTTGATCCTTCATGAAGCTAGTCTGCAGTCAATCTAGACATGGAAGCAGCAGGGAAACAAAGTGGACAGTCCTTCACACTGTTGATACAATAGATCTGCTTTATTACAGTATCCAAGAGAAGACATTTGTTAGGTCTGATCTCAGTCTTTTTGACAGATTTAAGTTTGTTCCAGCAGGTGAAAAACTTACTCAATCCTCAAATGACTCCTTGCCCTCTGGGTCATATCAGCGTCTGCGTGAGATGACCTTTGAACTTCAATCTGACTCGTGTAAATATTTCTTATATCTATTATTAATATCTTACATTCCTATTCTATTTGATTAATATTTTTATTATTTTATTTCTACTGCTATATTGTATATTTTGGAGCAACTGTGACTGTTTTAGGTGTAACCTAAATGTTGAGGGCTGAAGCTCATTGACATTTAAAGAGGTGAGTTGACATGGGAATGAAGGCAGCGAGAAGGATTCCACTTCAAGGTTTTTATTAGCACAGGTTCTGTCGAGTGGTTTTTCCTGTTTTAGAGACAAAATATGACAATTAATGATTTGCCTCATTGACAAAATAATGTTCAATAATTATAAACAGGCTCAGTAAACTGAGGATGTATAAATTAAACAATAAATCAAGTCTGCCCATGCATCATAAACAAACATAATAACTCACATGTGGACGCACTCAGCAAAGAAAGGTGGAAAAGGTCTTGTCCTTAAAAGAGCAAACAGAGCAATGAACTCTCCTCTTTATTGGAGACCTGATTTGGGGCTTTCATTCACCTGTTGCTGATTGCTGCAGCCAGCACAGGTGATTATTGTTGCTCCTAATAGAGCTCAGGGAATCAAGGCAGACATGACATCTCAACAGTAACAATTGAATTTCCCTCAGGGATTACTAAAGTATTCCTGATTCTGATTCTGAATGCAAACCAATCCATGACAGTGTTAGACGTCCTGATCTGTGAACAAGCTGAATTTATATATATATATACTTAGCCACCTTGACGTTAAGATGCACCACTTCCCTACTGTCTTATCAGGACTAAAATAATTTCTGTTTTCTTTTGCATCAAAATGTATTCCAGCTAGGAGAGACTCATGACATAATGTGACATAACTGCTGTCACAGGATATACATGCTGTTGTGTTTGGAGGATTTAAACTCCCCCCTCTGGTAGACACACACCATGCAGCGGTGACAGTCTGTTCCTGAAAGCATCACCTGGGCTTCTCTAATGCAGGTGTCGAAAGAGCTTGTTCTATAGCAGACAGAGTACAGCTGCAAAACTGTGCTGATGTCTGCTCCACTCTTCCACTCCGCTGAGTGTTGCTCCAGATATGACAGCTCCACACAATGTCTCATTCACAAAGAAACATCAACACACAGCAGAAAAACCTGCCCGTACTTCTGGTGCTTTTACATCGCACACTGCGTTTGGTTTGTGTGTGAGAGAGCTAATGAAAGAGGAAATGAGACTTTGTGGACTTAAGTGAAGCTTGTGTTGTGAAGGGTGGGTCATCTCTGAAGTTAGTCTTTGATAGTTCAAGGCGTGAAGACAACACCCATTAACTCGCCTCTAATGGTACTGCTAGCAGCACAGCTAACTGAGATCCATAGAAAACAAAAGCTACAATCAGCAGCAGGTGCAATGTCTTCCCTATTTCCCCCCTGACACAGTTGTAATTATAACGCCCAACCCTCATGTTGTGTAAATAGCAAAATAACTTTAACCTCCGTTAGCTCCCAGAGGTTTGTTTGTCTTGAAATGAGGTGTCATCAGAGGTGTCAGAAGATTTTTTTGCCACAGTATGTGAGATGTGCTGCTGGCAGCAGAAGTTGCTGCTGCAACTAAAGTGCATGTCAAGAATCCCTGAAGACAGGTATGGCTCGGAAAGAAGGAATCATCAGTTGACCTGCAGGCTACGTCCACTTCTTTTAAACTCTGTTTGTAAAACCTGTATCGGATCTTAAGTCTGTCGTCAAGGTCTGTGTGCTCGGCCCATTTTCAAACTGCTTTTAAAAGCAGTTCTTAATGACAGGAGACAAAAGACAACCAGATGTTCTTCTAAAAGAAAAAAATACAACAGCTGCAAACAGTGTCTCTGTATCTTCTGCTACATTGGCTTAGCAAAGCATTTAAACTGCAAACACAACACGCAGAGTCTATTATCAGTGCTGCAGTCACAGCAACTGACACATCTGATCAGTGAGCAGCCCTAAAGAACACTCATCTGAATAATCACAGTCTGCACGGCCCACTGGGTGACACTGGATCAGCACTAATAGCACTGCCTGTCATCTAGACTTAAAACACACACACACACACACACACACACACACACACACACACACTGGGTGTCCTCCTCACTCTATCAATTTTAATTACTAATGTGCTTTATAAGCTTCAAATCATTGTTCTAAAAGTACAAACAGCACATAACATAATGTGACCATGACAGCATGACGATAATTAAAAATAAAATCTAATGGCACAAACGTCTTCTGAGCAAATGTTCCAGTCTTCTTGCAGTTTGTGACTTGTTACAGAGTGTTTGTGTTTGCAGTTTTAGGTCACACTTTGTCAAATTAACTCTTTTTTAATAAAACTACAGTTCTAAATTGGCAGATTATTGACTGGTAGATCGTACAGGTTGCACTGACATGTCACAGTATGAATAGAAATCAAGTCTATCCTCTGAAAATAACTCTGAGTCATGACTGTCTACAATGAGTGTAACACCCGAGTCCCACTGTCTGTGATGTTTTCAGAGTTTTCAGAGTCCTATCTTCACTTTGTTTACATCGCCCGGACGGCCGGCTGACTCCTCCCCTCGTGTATAAAAGTTGTTTAATTGAGGGACTAGAGAAAAGAAGAATAACATACTGTACTCACTGCTTAACTGTGTTTCTAGATCACGCTCATTTCAGGTAAATTTACATGCAGTGTGAAGATACCAGCATAATAAAGATCGCTAGCATTAGCATGCTAACACAACAATGCAGCACGAGTTGTTTTGGTTTCATGCTGGTGCTCAAGGGCGACATCTGCTGGATCAAAAAAATGCATATAAAGCCTTTAAAGGAAGATTCTTCTGTTAAACCGCGCCTACAGTTTTTTTTGTCTTGAGGACTTCAGTCTCTGTACATGGGGCGCCTAAACTGACCAAAGCCCTTTATCAGAAAACTTCCACCTACATGACCCGTTCACCTGATTGGCTAGAAAGTCCCTCAAGCTTGAGCTTGTATTTTAGATACGGGGGTTTTGGTTTGGTCCAAGTGAAAAGCGTCTAGCAGTAGATCACATTCTCTTACCCGTTTATCCACCAAAAACAAACAAAAACTGTAAAAAAAAAAATAAAAAAAAGAAGGTACTCCCTGACAACATTAATTTAATCAGAATCGTCTCATTTGCATTCCAGACTCTTCAACTGCATTTAGATTATCGTCGAAATGGCTGATGCCTGTAATCAGAGTTTGACACGGTGTCTCTGAGACCTGAAGGCTGTGAGCTAACAGCTCTAACCCCCTGAACCCCCTCCCCCACTCTGACTAAATTTAAACAGGAACATCTGAAGTGTGAACCCAGTGTGAGTCAGATATGATGTCTCTTTTCATGCTGAAGCTGCAGTGAATTAATGAGAATCAGGTCACACAGGAATTTATAACGGTGCGGGGTGCAGAACTAAATTAAATCTAAGACTTTGCCAGAATGATAGTCGGCAAGATGGTGGCTCAAAGGATGTTTGTTTCCCAAAATAGTTGATGTTTTAATTTTGTTTGGGTAGAAAAGAATGAGTGATGGTATTCCCTTGTAGAAAAGTTAGATTCTCATGCCAAACCAAACAAATTGTCCACAAAGTCTAAACACACACCTGGCAAGGTGAGGAACACGGCAAAGGCTGTGAGTCAATCACCCAGAATCTGACATGTTGGAGCAAAAGTTCGCCTTCTTTAGGTATCCTGCAAGTTCTCAAATATTGTCAAGCAAATCTAAAGTTGCTCCAACAGTTTGATCAACCGTCTGAACGTCCAGGCAGGTGTCATGATGAGGATCTGGATTAGATTTCCATGTTGTTTTGGGAAGAGGATCCTCAGTCTACATATTCTGCCAGCTGCTTGTGTGAGGTTCTTCAGGGTTCAATCCTGGGTCCATTTAAATATTCAATCTACATAATACTTGCTAAAATATAATGAGTATAATATTAAAGAACTGTTTGTTTTGAACTATTATTATCATAAACAAGCAGACCTGCTTTAACTGATGCATGGGTAATGACACAGCTAACCAGCCTTATGAATCATGACTTTGTGAAGCCAGCATCAACGATAGGTGCAGACAAGAGAAATCGTTGAGAGAAAAGATTGTATGACACTGATTCTATCTGACCTTTTCTGCTAAAAATGATTCTTTGAGTTATGTTTCTAGCTTTACAGGGCCTTCAGCAAATTTAAACTCATCTTCTTTCTTGAAGTTTTCCAGTTGTGGCTGTTGTTTGGCGCCGTCGTCTGCCTGAAGCCCTGAGCTCTGATGTCGTAGATGAGATGTCAAATGTCTTGTTTCAACTCTTATAAAAGTTTGACTTGTTTTATTACTCACAGGCTGTGTCTGAACCCACATACGTTTTATTTATTTTTTATTTTAAATTAATTTAACCAGGAGAACCACATTGAGATTAAGAATGTTAAAATTAAAATTAAGAAGAGTGTCCTGGCCAAGAGGAGCAGCAGCACAACAAAAAGTTACAGACATAAAACACAGTTTAACATGTCCTGAGTCTCAGAGCAGAAAGTCATTAGTCAAAGCATCTACAACCTGAAGAGCATACTGCATACACAAAGGCGCCAGGTTAGCATGGCCATCGGGCCACCGTAAAATCCTGTGTTTAAAACACACTTTTAATACCTATATTTTCATCTACAAAGTTAGCTGCATCGTTAACATAGATGTAACCAATATACCATTACAAAATGCTTGGGGCGCTGGTGGTGTGGTGGTTGGTTCACCCACCCCATGTACGGGTGCTGTGGTCCTCTGGGCGAGCGACATCTCGTTCCCCTCCCTGTGCGACTTCCCAAAAATTAATCCTTAAGAAAAAAAAAGGCGTCATTACCGCAAGTTCAGCCGCGACCATCACACATTTCAGACGACCTGAAGCGATTGAAAGGTTTTTTTTTGTTCTCTCCCTTTGCACCACCAGGGATCCTTAAAATTGTTATCATAGGGCCACATAAAACACTGATGTTTTCATTCATCTTTATAGAGGAGTAATGTGATCAGGGAATGATTATTTCTCCTCTAATTACGATTCAATTGTACCACTCAATTATCTCCATGCAGAGACTAAAATCAATTTTCGGCTCCTATTGGGTACCACTTGATCTGATCAAAGGGTGTTAAATATTCTCTGTTTCAGTCTCCATTAAGTGCTATATGTGAAGTATGTTGCCTTTAACTTGAAAGTTGAATTGCAAGTATCAGTGCAGCATATTAAAAAGAGGCTGACTTTGCCTGAAGGATTAAAAAATGTCTTAATCTCTGTCTCTTCTTTTTTTTCTTTTTGGAACTAAGTCTCTCTTGTTCTTTCTCTGTTTGCCAAATTAATGCAGCACCAGAGCATCTGATTTTCAACCCACCATGACTCATCTCCTTCCATGTTTCCCCCTCTAATAAACAGATGAGATCTGGGTCACGGAGGAATTTTAAACAGGACTGCGTTCCGAAACACAATGAAGTCAGT